CATTTCAGCGTTTTACCCCCATTTCAGCGTTTTACCCCCATTTCAGCGTTTTACCCCCATTTCAGCGTTTTACCCCCATTTCAGCGTTTTATCCTCATTTCAGCGTTTTATCCCCATTTCAGTTTCCGCTTTCAGTTTCTGCTTTCAGTTTCCGTTTCAGCGTTTTATCCCTACCCAATTTTCCTGATTATCGCGCACGAGCGTTGATAATGTATAGTGTTGTAATTGTATTGTTTGAATCGCATCTTCAAGGCGTTCTTGGCCTTATTTTGCAAACTGATAGTGCTAGTAATGACGGAATGTCTTCGTACGAAGACAAGTATCTCAACCTGGCATTGGGAGTCGTGTCTGGAGTTTCAAGGCAAGTATTTTGATCATTTTTAGACTTTCCATTTCAATGTTTTGCCGTTGCTATGGCGTTGTAAATTGATTTGCATTTAGTATAGCTTCACTAGAACGACCAAGTATGTCCTCATATCGCATTTTTTGTGTTGAAATAATCCTTCCATACTGAAATTGACAAATATAAATGGTATTTATTTATATTGTTGTCGAAAATTTATGGTGTTTTAGGCATAAAGAACTCTGATTCCTAGGCAAAGTAAAAGGAGCCTTGAGCACATGTTTGGTTGTTTGTTACATACATAATGGCCAAGTATTCATACTTATATCTTACTAGTTTGACTCTTATTATAATTTCAAGTGGCGCCATATAGATTATGTCTGTAAAAAGTTTTTATTTGTAGTGACGAAGATATTGATCCTGTTCCTAGCTGCTGGAACAGGAACTGTTTCATAGCCTCAGGGAAGTAGCAGTTTTGAGAGTTATGAGAACCCCACTCCCCAACCCCCATTAGGAAAACATGTAAGTATAGAGGGAAGGTAGGGGGATGAGTAGAGGTAAGCCCAGCCACTACGACCCAAGGTTTTGAAAGCTCCCTGTCTTAAAAGCACCCCCACTAGGCCCCATAGTACACAGGGTTCTCCTTATCAGGCGGTAACCGGTAAAATTTACCGTTTCCACGAGCACTGATTACCGCCTGGAGAAGCCCAAGTTAAATATACGTTTGTGTACATTTGTTAAGAAATAATTAGTAATAAGGTGTGAGAAAATCCTTTATATAATAACTACAGTGAAACACGCAATTTTATTGGTCAATAGTCGTGCAGGATCAGGCTATCCTGCACGAGGAATTATAATGCCTTCGTGGGATTTTCAAAATGTCATAGTTTCACTGCAGTTATTTTATAAAACAATTACCAAATGGTTTTCCAAGCAGGATAGCGTGATCCATGCAC